AAACCATAGTCTTGACTAGATGAACCTTTGTTGGCAAAGTAATGTCTCTGCTTTTTAATATGCTGTCTATGTTGGTCATAACTTTCCTTCCAAGGAGCAAACGTCTTTTAATTTCATGGCTGCAATCACCATCCACTGTAATTTCGGAGCCCAGAAAAATAAAATCAGCCACTGTTTCCACTGTTTCCCCATCTATTTGCCATGAAGTGATGTGACCAGATGCCATGATCTTAGTTTTCTGAATGTTGAGCACTCATTTCACATGCTAGCAAAATAATGCTCAAAATTCTCCAAGGTAGGCTTCACAGTATGTGAACCATGAGCTTCCAGATGTTCAAGCTGGATTTAGAAAAGGCAGAGGAACCAGAGATCAAATTGTCAACATCCGTTGGAACATAGAAAAAGCAAGGGAATTTCAGAAAAAAAAAAAAAACAAAAAAACATTTGGTTCTGCTTCATTGACTATGCTAAAGCCTTTGAGTGTGTGGATCCCAACAAACTGTGGAAAAATCTTAGTGATGCGAATATGAGACCACCTTACCTGCCTCCTGCAAAACCTATATGCAGGTCAAGAAGCAACAGTTGGAACCAGACATGGAACAACAGATTTTTTTCCAAATTTTGAACGGAGTAGTCAAGGCTGTATATTGTCACCCTGCTTATTTAACTTACATGCAGAGTACACCATGCGAAATGTTTGGCTGGATGAAGCACAAGCTGGAATCAAGATTGCAAGGAGAAATATCAATAACTTCACATATGCAGATGACACCACCCTTATGACAGATAGTGAGGAGGAACTAAAGAGGCTCTTGATAAAGGTGAACGAGTGAAAAAGCTGGTTTAAATCTCAACATTCAAACAACTAAGATTATGGCATCCAGGCCCATCACTTCATGGCAAACAGATGGGGAAACAATGGAAACATTGACAGACTTTATTTTCTTGGGCTCTAAAAATCACTGCCGATGATGACTGAAGCCATGAAATTAAAAGACACTTGCTCCTTGGATGAAAAGCTATGACAAACCTAGACACCATATTAAAAAGCACAGATATTTCTTTTCTGACAATGGTCCATCAAGTCAAAGCTATGGTTTTTTCAGAAGTCTTGTATGGATGTAAGAGTTGGTTTATAAAGAAAGTTGAAGGCTAAAGAACTGATGCTTTTGAACTGTGGTGTTGGAGACGACTCTTGAGAATCCCTTGGAATGCATGGAGATCAAATCCGTCAATCCTATAGGAAATCAATCCTGAGTTTTCATTGGAGGAACTGATGCTGAGGCTGAAACTCCAATACTTTGACCACCTGATGCGAAGAGCCAACTCATTGGAAAAGACCCTGAAGATGAGAAAGATTGAAGACAGGAGAAGTGAATGACAGAGGACGAGATGGTTGGATGGTATCACTGATTTAATGAACATGAGTTTGAGCACACTCCTGGAGATGGTGAAAGCCAGGGGAGCCTGGCATGCTATAGTCCATTGTGTCATAAAGACATGACTGAGCGACTTAACAGCAACAATGACTTTGCTCACTGAGTTTCCCCGACTAATACCTTTTTTTTTTCTCTCTACCAATTACAACATTTTCCACCATTCAACGCCAAGATCAAACACTAGCTCTTCCCTTATCTTTTCCCTCAAATTAGTAGCTGAAGGATAACTCTCTGGTTTCTGCAGACAGTGGACCATTTGCAATTTGGATCTTGTCTTTGGTAGCCACCTTTCTGAATAAAGTGAAATAATTTTCCTATTACAGGAAAGAATGCAGACTTGTTAGTGTCATGTGCAGAGCAGAGCCAGCCCTAGGCTCATGGCAATTCCAGTATAGAAGAGAGGGTAGGACATAGGGAGAGAAGAAAGGAAAATAAATGTTAGGAGGAGAGAGGAAGAGAAGGGTTAAAATTTGGCTTTCTTGGAAACTGCATTCCCACTAGTCTAGCTTATAGTCAAGATCTAACTGGGAAAACAAAGTACATGGAAACTGCTGATTGTAATGGGGATATGAAGGAAGCTAGATTAACATCTAGGGGCAGTGCCAACAAGAGACTAAAGGCCAGGAGTGAGCTTTCATTCCAGGCACCTTCTCCTCATATCTCCTAGGGAAAGTTGCCTCAGAATATTCATCATCAGAATTTGAGATGATCCATTTTAACTCCTGGTCTGTTGTCTGGATGGGAAAGAGACCAAGGTACCAGGCCTTATAGTTGTTTCTGTCCATAGAAGCACAGGCAAGTAGAAGAACAATAGCTCAGAGGTCTGGAGTGCTGAGTTACCAGTAACATGGGCACTTAACTTTGAAAGGTTCTCAATCTGATTATCTTGGAAATAGGGCAAAGAGTTTCAGCCTTTCCTCTCTGTCTAGGATCTGGTGTGCTCCTACATCCTCATCAAATGCAAGTCTTTTGGCATGCCAAGAGCATCCACACATTTTCAAAGGTCAAGCAGGGAATCTGTATTTTGGTGGCACAGGAGAGGCTACTCTGGGCAGGCCCCATTTGAAGGGTGTATTTTCTCTGGGTCCTAAAGTATTGGGTTGGCCAAAAAAATTCATTCAGGTTTTTCCATAATACCTTACAGAAAAACCCAAACGAATTTTGCGGCCAACCCAATAGATGGGGCTGCTGAACTTGACTCCAAATCTCCTAAACCTTGACTAAGGGGATGGGAACAGAACAAGGAGTGGGGTCCCAGATAACACCCATCAGGAACCCAGATTGAAAGAAAGATAAAAGATACCTGTGGCTCTCTGCCCTGAAGTCTGTTTATAATATATTCCAGTCCTTTACTTGTTTCTTGTACATAAACAGTTGCACTGCCCTCCAAAATGCCTTACGCATTTGAAAGTCTGGAAGCTGCATGGGGCAGGACCATGGGGATAGATGGCCAGTTTTCTTGCCTTCCTTTCTAAAGGCTCTCAAGCACTAGGAGCTAGGGAGTGTGCAGGCAGTAAGAAGAAAGAGAGGCAAGTAATTTTCGACCCCATTCCCTTCCTCCCTATCATCCCTGCATGATAGGAGATAATTATGTAGGGGTGTGGGGGGTGGGTCTGTCAAGACAGCTCTGAGGAAAAGCTCTAAACATCAAAAGTACTTCCCACATAGCTATTATCTGGGCTTGCATCCTCTATGCCTTCACCTTGTATCTCTCTAACTGCTCATCCATATCTACACCCACAGTTGTGCAGGAGATATAAAAGAAGGTACTGTGAAAGGATGAAGATTTAGCAAAATTGAAGGTGCCTAAATCTGGATTTGGGTGGCTATCTGTGCTGGTCCAGGCCCCATTTGCCTCCTTCCCCTATTCTTCTCCACATCATAGGTTGACTGACCACAGTAGGCTGCATTTCCCAGGCTTCCTCGTCAATCATCTTCTGGTTGGGTTCAACCAGTGGAAGGCACTGATGAGAGGGTAAGAAATGTGGGGAAGTCAGGGTACTTAGGCTCTACCTTTTGTGCCTTTGGTGACATTTCTGCTGTGTCTCTTCTATGGCTTCTGCTATCAGTATACTTCCAATTCTGCTGTGTGATCCAATTCCTGGCTCAGGTCATACAACCTCCTTCCACTGTCCATTTTTAACCTTGCCCTGCTCTGCCAGATGTTGCAAGAGGGGCTGACCCCTCTAGGTTGTGTTTCCCAAGCTCTAATATTATTTGACCTGTAGTTTACTCCAGTGATACACTGGAAGCAGACTGATGGGCAAGAATGATGTAAAGGAGAGGGTGTTTCTTCCTTTTGTTTGGATACCCATGATAGACCTGTGATTTCACTTTCCATCAGGTGACCCAAGTCCCTAGCCTCTGGACATATCTCTTCCCTCACCCCTTTAGCCTAAGGATGGTGTTAGACTCCTGCTATCACTAATCTATAACTTCCTGTCCTTCTTAGATTCTCTGCCTATCACCTGTGTAACCATTTTCCATGTTAAATCTGTTGTCATAAATATTTGGTAATTTGTGTTCCTAGCTAGATCTTGACTATATAATAGACTAGTGGTAATGCAGCCTATGATTCAAGGTGAGTGAATGGGAGACTCCTTGGTCATTTGACTCAAAGGTGTTTGGCAACTGTAGGAGACAGGAAGAATAAAAGAAAAGCAGGCCCCGGCAAGGGCCACAAAAGAAATTTATAGTTATTGATAAACTGGATGCTATAAGGCATGAGACTCTTAGAACAAGTCCAGAGGGAACAGTTCATAATCTTGAAAACAAGATATGATCCTGGGTCAGAACACCAACCCCAGACTGTTTCTCCACTGGTGTCTCAGAGTCACATGTTTTACGTATCTGGTGGGAAATCTATAGATAAGAATATTAGTCTTAGTTACCGATTTGTTATTGATTACTGTTTCTTAATTACTCAATGGTTAATGATCATTTTGTTCTTTGGCCTTGAAGGCCACATGAGTTATAGTTTAACTCCCTGCATATTCTTTCATTCACGGCTGAAAGTATAATAAAGCTGGCTTAGATTCAGTTTTGGCACCTTCACTTTGGAGTGGTCTTGGTCCCCTGGTCCCTTGATCCTTGCTTTTCTCTGAATTCTTGTGCCTTGTTTCTCATTCTCTTGCCACATCACACTTTTGGAAACCCTGCTTGTTGAGCCAGTCTTGACAGGCAACAGCCCCTGAAAAGGTGGCTTTCATTCACCATAATCTGGTGTCAATAGATTGGTTGTGGACCCAAGTTTGGTTCAGTAAAAATAGCAGCCAGAGATTCAATGGAGACCCAGGGCTGAACAAGATGATGCTACTCTTATACTTACCTGATTTCTTTAGGACCTTGCTGCTAGGACATTACTAGTGCCAATTGTCTCAAGGATCTTGGTGGGGAGGTATAGGCCATTGGGTTAGTTTTATCTTTCAGAAGTCAGGCTCCTATGCCTGTTGAATGCCAGATCAGTATAATTCTTTCCCATGACCAACCAGACACCTTCCCCCAGTGAACTCTGTGCCCCCCCCACAACCTAACACACACTAGACACAACAGCCCCCAGGATTTATTTTCTGAGGATTTTATTGTGGAGGATAATACAGGAGAGCAGCTTTGGGTGAGTGCATAGAGCTGTAGTTCCCTCTAGCTACGTGGATCCCCAGGTGATTTCTTGGAGGCATTGTAGGTTTCTGGGCAGGCTGCAAGATTACAGTTGGTGTTTGAGGTAGCTAATCAACATGGGGGGAATATCCAGCTGGTCGATGGCTTGTGGCTGGCTGGTGTGGCACAGGGATCTGCGGATAACTAAACGAGCCTGTGATAGTAGTGACCGTGGAGTGGCTACAGTAAGGAAAAACAGGTTTTGAGAAGCAATTCTCAGTGTGGTTCTCCCACCCAAGCCTACATCCATCCTGCCCTGGCTACTGCAGCCCTAACTGCTCTCTCCCTTCTAAGAAATGTCCCCCTCCCTGCCCTAAAATGCACTGTACGAATGGGGACACACTGAAGCCTAGAGAAGGCATGTTCAAGGCCACAAAACTGTCACTGGCAGAGCCAGAACCACAAATTGGGATTGTGCAAACTTTACCTCATCTAAGTGAACCTTCTCCTAAAAAGGAATCTGTAACCTCTTTTCTACTAGGGCTCCAAGAAAGGGGAGACAATAGTGTTTTCTCCAATTCACCCCAGAAATATTAACTTAGGGGGTGATTTGTGTCCCTGGGACATCCAAGCCAGGAGACCTATTAGAGCTGGTCTGCTTGACACTCACCTCGGGCCTGTACCAGCAATGCAGTGCTTTTATCATATTGCGAGTTCAGGTCCAGGGAGAGAGATGGAAGGTAGATGTTAGCACCAAAATCAATTAACAGCCGGATGTACTCTGGCTCACAATTATGGTGGAGGCAGATTTCGAGGAGGGTGCGGGGCCGTGGTATTCGAGCCAATAGGTGCTGGTCAGTACAGTTGTAGTCAGGGTCTGCCCCATGGAGCAAAAGTAGGCGGAAACAATCAAGGTGACCATAGACTGCAGCCAAATAGAGGGGGCCAGAACATGAAGCTATGTTCGATGCCCAGACTGGTAGTTTCGCCTTGACATTGACCTCTGCACCATGACCCAGGAGCTCCTGCAGGATGGTAACAGCACCATCACGGGCAGCTGTGAGCACAGGAGAGCAGTTGTTGTAGATGCTACCACCAGGACAGGCACCAGCTTCCAAAAGCACACGCACACAGTCCAGATGGCCATGACTGACGGCGGTAAAAAGTGGTGTCTGTGCCTTGACGTCTAAGCTGTCAACATCAGCACCATGTGCCAGGAGGACCTGCAGGCAGCTAAGGTGGCCATAAGCAGCAGCCAAGCGCAAGGGTGTCCCAGGGACACCCCAGCCACTCCTACTGTTGATAAATCTTTTGTAACGCTCCTGGCACAAAAGCTGGTCCAAAGTATAGGAATCATTGTTGTACACTGCTTGATTGAGAGCTTGCTTCTCTCCTGTGTCGGTATCCTCCTCATCAGGCTGCAGGAGGGAGAAGATCTTGGTGATATCCATGAAGTTTTCACCTTGGCTGATTGGAGAAAAACTATTCTCATTATGAGCAGGAGGATATGCCAGATCTGTGGGTGACAAAAACAGGAGACTGAGGGCTGCCATCAAAAGCCTGGATGCTTGCTCCCCCATCCTTCACTATCAGGCTCCTCACTCATTGGCCCCCTGTGTCTAACTCCTACTACATCTTATTTCAGACCCTAGAGATGGCTGCCAAAATAGATGAGGTCATTTCACAGCCTGGTACCTTTGCATATGTTGTTCTGCCTACTCTTCTAACTCCTACTTCTGGGAAGCCTTCCTTAATCTCCGCCCCTTCTCAGGGATTCTAAAGGATTACAACTAGGCTTTAGCTATGAACTTTCATATCTTATTTCCACTTACATGTGCTTCATCAGTGTGTAAACTCCAAGGTGAGGACTCCTGTATCCATCTCATTATTCCTCCACTCCCGGCAGAGTCTACATCATAGATAGGGAGTTGGTAGATGAATCTTAATCCAGAATGTGTGGGCTAATGGTGGTTCTGGTCTGGCAGTTGCTAGGCCAACAGAATGGTGCTTTGTGGTGTCAAGCGGTCATCCCTGAGCATTCTGACGTCAGTCTTATGGGGGCAGGCCCTCAATTCTACCTCTCAGCCTTTTAGATTAGATTCAACAACTTCACAGGCTTCCCTAGTGGCTCAGATGGTAAAGATCTGCCTGCAGTGCAGGAGACCTGGGATTGATCCCTGGATTGGGAAATCCCCTGGAGAAGGAAATGACAACCCACTCCAGTACTCTTGCCTGGAGAATCCTGTGGACAGAGAAGCCTAGTGGGCTACAATCCATGGGGTTGCAAAGAATCAGACATGACTGAATGACTAAGCATACATGCACACACACTGTTTCTCTTAACAGTTCCATGAGGCAGGGATGATCATTTCTGTCTTATAAATGAGGAAACTGAATCCCAAAGAAGGGAAGAGACTTGCCCAAAGGTTACTCAGAAAATAGGGGTGCTGAGTTTAGATCTGTCTGAATTCTAAAATTCTAATTCTAAGAATTTCTAATTCTTTATTGGGTGAGCGACCAGGGAAGCCCCAAGAGAAACTGAGCTACCACATGTTAGATCTTCAAAGGTGAGCTTCCTCTGTGCCTTCAGTCTCTCCACTGGTTCCTCTCCCTCAGTCATCTTTGGAAACAAAACACTTCTGTGGTCCTTTGTCCTACTCTAGCCACCTTTCTTTTCTTCTTCACCTCCAAGTCACTTTGCCACCCTCTGCAGTGGCTCCATCCACCCTTAATCATACACTGAATAGTTCTTTAAAAGTCATCCTTGTGGTTAAATCTACTGGCTATTTATCAGATATTTCCTTTTCTGACTCTTCTGGAACATCTGACCACTTCTTACTATGTAGTCTTCTCTTGGCTTCCTGGCCAGCACACTCTTCTGATTTCCCCCACTCTGTTCTCCCCTGAAACAGTTTTGTCCTCCGTGTTCTCTCCTTCTTCTAGAGCTATAGCTTTCACATTTATCAGGATGATTTCAAGCCCACTACTCCAAGTACCCCAGCTCTCTCTTCAGCAAAGGTATGTATTCATTGAATTCTTTCAGGTACTTCAAAATCAGCACTATCACACCATCACTACTACCATTATCATCACCAAACTAGATCCACATCTCAGTTCCTCATCATCCAACTGGTCAACTAAACCAAATACCCAAGACTAATGTCAGGCCTCTTTATTTCTTTCTCCCATCCCCAGCTAACTGATTACCAAATCATATGGATTTTACTTCCTAGAGACCTCTATAGGCTACCCCTCTCAGGCTCATATTCATTGCCAGTACTTTATCTAGGCCTCTATCATCTTTTACATCAACTCTTACAGTAGTCTCCTAGCTAGTTTACTTTTTCAATAATTTCTTCTTATTATTGCTAAAGTGATCACTTAAATATATAAACCTTGTCTGTGCCAATCCTCTATTTTAAATCCTTTAATGACTCCCTTTTCTTTCAGAGTATAGCCCAGATACCTTGCCAAGCTTACAGGTCCTTCATGAGAAAACCTTGGCCCAAATCTCCAGCCTCACTTTCTACCACTTCTCTACTTATACTCCAAAATCCATCAGTAAGGGAGGAGAAATTATGGCTCTTAATATATATCATGTTTCCTTCTTTCACATGCAATTTCCTCTGATGGGTTACTTCCTTGAGTCTTGGCTCTTATAGCACTAGAGCAGTCATCACACTGTATCACAACTCCTTCTGTGTGGATCTGTTTTGTCCCCACTGCAGATTGGGAATACATATATGGAAGTAGTAAAACATGGTCTAGGATTCTGTTTCAATCTCATCTCTACCACTTAGTAGCTCTGTGACCTAGGGCAGGTCATTTAATCTCTCTATGTCTATTCCTTCATCTGTAAAGATAGAGTAATAGTAGTATCTGTCTCAGAGGACTATTGTTAGGATTAAATGAGTTAATACATCTTAAATATTTATAATATCACTTGAATGTAGTACTCAGTAACCATTTTCACTATGATTATTATTACTACTTAGGTCTTCAATTTCTATGACTGCTGCTCCCTCCAGAGGTTAAAGCTCCATAACTTCAATTTAGAGATGGAATAGAATCCAGGTTTCCCTACACCCCATCCTGTACTTTCTATTACCACCTGAAAAGCAAACACATATCCCTCCTCCTTGCCTCAAGAAGTTGTATTGTAGCTCCAAGAATCCTCAGGTTTGAGGGTCATGCTGGATTCCAGGACCTTAATCATATGATTTGTAAAGAAATAATTTCTTTACAAAATCATTAAATAAAATAAATCTAACTATTTTACAATATTATTATCTTACTCTTGGGGGAGTGATGTTCAGAGAAATGAAGAGGAAAGGGAGTATGAAGGGAAATGCTGAAGATCTTATCAAGGTCATATTATGAGCCTACAGCAGGGCCAATATAATGAGCCTCTAGAGGGAGAACAAGACATAAACCCCAGCAGCCTTGGGTACTTGAGTGAATTGTACCTCACCTCATTAGATAGGGTAAGAAAATCTAAGTCATCTATTGTCTAACCTCACCGTACTATTGTTTATTAATCAGTTATTATGTGTGGGCATTCTATGCAAGGATCCTTCTCCTGATCCCCAAAGTGGAGGGGTTTTAAACTCTTTTTTGGTGAAATCAGCCCCTGTGACAATCTTATTAAGTCTCTGGCCCCATCTCAGAATGGTTTTTAATTTTTTCTTTCTTTTTAGATTAATTAATCTATTTTAATTGGAGGATAATTACTTTACAAACTTGTGACGGTTTTTGCCATACATCAACATGAATCGGCCACAGGCATATGTGTCCCTCCATCCATAAGATACACAGAATTAAAGGAAACCAATTATATTGAAAAATAGCTATGAAAATACTTTAAAAATTGCATGATATAGTAATAAAAGTTCTTTATTAACACATTAAACAACAAGCTCTACTAATAATTTCTAAGTTATAATGAGCACAAATGGCATTTCTAGATCTCTGTCACAACTGTAATATGAAAGGAAATATCTATGATTTCTTCTGGTGACCAAGTTACAGGAACTAGTAATATGATTGCTATTTGCTGCCTGCATTCATCCTTGAAGGAAGTAGTAAATTTCAGTTAGATTAAGGGGAAATAAAAGTGTTTGTTCATATCATCTGTATTTTTGGACTCTTTGCATTCTATCTAAGGCCCTCTTGTGGGGGTGTCTGTGAATCTAGGTTAAGAACTCCTTTGGGAGAGTGGCTGATTTCAGTAGGCCCCAGAATAGTCTGCCAAGCATTAATAGACTATTTTTAACGCTCGTTTTCCCCTCCCCTCCACATCGAGAAGCTCTGCCTTTCTGTCCTTGAGCATACCCTTCTGCATCCACATACTCACAAATACTAAGCAAGGACACAGACAAACCTTCCCCTTTCCTGTATTGCATAACTGAAGCAATTTCCCTGAAGAAGTAGGCCCATTTGAATCCCAGAGCCCAGGCAGACATACTTTCCTGGGACAAACACAGCAGGAACCCGTCCTTCTCTCTGTGAGGTTTCCTCACTGACCTCCTAAGCACCGCCAGAAACCAGACCCAGCGGAAAGACTACAAAGGGTGGTGATCATAGGTTCACCACCCGGCAGCCCTAAGAGTTCACTTGTTCCTGATAGCATCGTCATATTCTAGGCTCCAGGTACTCACCAGACTGCCCCTACACCTCTGCGAAGCACTGGGCCTTGGTGGCCCCTCCAAGGGGTGCCCCCTACTGCCCCAGGGGCTGGAGCAGGCAGAGCCCCCAGTTTCCACTGTTAATAACACTGCCTGCAGTCTGGCTGAATAGATCCAGAGGGCTAATTTTAGGCTACCCTTCACCCCGCCTCCACCTCGCTCTGAAGGCCGTGTTATCTTACTAATGCCATTCTGGGAGAGATCCCTTTGAGAGCAGGGCCATCCATGGGGAAGTCTTGGAAGGACTGACTGACAGGTGTCTAGCTGTGCTGAGACTTAGGGTCCTAGTGTGTCCCAGGGTACCCCTCCCCACCATTCAAATAGGCTACAAGGCCAGACTCCTGGCTGTGGGTGTTCCTACCCTTTCACCAAGGGGCCAGAGAAGGCCCAGTCTTCCTTAGCACACCTTCCTCTGGTCCCAGGCCTCTTCTTTTTCTCTTCCTAACTTAGCCTCTTTGTATTTCCTATTTCCTTTTTTGAATGACCAACAACACATTGCCCTCTCCTTCCTCCACCCCAATACCCCTACTCCCAAGAGTGAGGAGGATGATGGGAAGCAGAGAATGCCACACTGGAACATACATCAACAAGGTTTTCCAAAGTTTAGAAGGCCCTATGTGTGCTAAGTCACTCAGTTGGCCCTGATCAATTTATAAATGCCTCCCCTGTCCACCAACCCACCAGACTCAGCTTAAAGAAAATATCCACAGCCTTTCCACCCTTTTCACATCTAAGACATCAAACCAGATTCATGTGTCCAGTACTAGGAACTCTGTCAAAAGCTCAGATCTTTAAAGTATTGTTTTAG